CCTTTCTTTCGAAGGTTTTCCCATTCCTTGTCAAGAGCAGCTTGGGCCTTTGGCGTATTGGCTACTTCGGCTTTTGGCACAAGCCTTGCAACGACTGCACTGAACAGTTCAAGAGCAACATCAAATTCAACCTTCTTGATTCGCTCTTTGACCAACTCACGCAATTGCGGGCGATGCGGCTCCTTCGATGACTTGTCACGTTCCGGAAGAACGGACATCGCAGGCGCGTGCCGGATCACAGGCAATGTCGGCTCGCCCTCGCGGGCGGCGCTGGTCGGCTTTGCACTCGATGCGGCTTCGGGGTGCTCGGATCTGGCCTCCGAAGAGACTGCTGTCTCAAGCACTGCCTTCTTGGCATCTGCACGGAGCTGATCTTCGTACTGCTGGGTTAGGGCCTTTCGGTCCTGGCTGCCGAGCATGACCCACATGTCAGACGGGATATCGGGAGGCCTTTTGGATCCGGCCTTCCTACGGACGAGCCGAACCCCATCCCACACATAGCCATCAGGTACTGGTGACCCATCAGGCATTATGCTCGGGTCGAATGCACCGCCTTTGTCGGGCACGACAGGCTTGGTCTTCGCTTCGGATTTCTCCGATGCGGCGGGTTCCTCGATGTGGGCTTGCCCACGTTCCAACGGCACAGGATCATCTCGTGTCCTAGCACTGGCAACAGGTGGATGAGATGCAGGGTCTTTCAACAACCTCATCGGGAAGATGAACTCATCAGTCGGAAGCTCAATGCGCTTTGTTCGCTGTACCGTGAGGGACGCATGTTCGATATGGTAATCGAGCCCTTCTAGTTTTGCAACGAGGAACTCACCCTTCCATGCGAACCCAGGCTGAATATGGTACCCGAGAAACACGCCTTCATTCGATGTTGGCGAAGTCTTGCCTGCCTGATTGTCAGCTCGTGCAGGGTTATTCCAGAACAGTATCTTTGCTCCGAAAGGTATCTCAGCTTCATCAAAGGTCTTGTTAAACCTGAGGTACCATGGCGAATCGTTTCCATTCAACTGTGGCAGGATGTTGGTCGCAACTGCATTGTGCTGGATAGCAAATGGCCACATCGACAGTGGGAACCCCGACTGAACAAGGTTCGCACGTGCTCCCTCCAACAGATGTCTGATTTCTCTTTCCACGAAAGATTTGGAGGAATCAACATATTCAATGGAGGTCTGATGACGATACCCCAACTGCTCTATTGCGGCTTTCAATTCCCGGGAGTTATCAGTATAGAGAACTTCAACCTCGTCCCTACCGGAAATGAAATGCTGGATCCCTGCGACGGATTGCTCCGTGCTTTTGCTGGTCGATGGGTAAACGTACCTGAACTGCGTATGCACGTCCTTGATCACAAGAGCACACCATTCACCTTTGATGCCTTGCTCGATGTTGGTCTTGAGGATCACATGATCAGCAATGATGTGATCTCCAAACGCTTTCGTTTCGAGCCTTCCCTGCCCGCCTTTCGATCTCGCATATGGGGCAAGCATCTTGGCGCGTTGGCAAGTGCGGCAAAAGGGATTCTTCGGATAGTGTGCAAACAAGTGCTCTTTGGTACTCGCTTCGGCAACCAGATCTTCCTCTTTGCGGGATCTCACAAACCGCTCAACTTCGTCGTCGGGATCATCACCTTCGTCGATGCCTTCGTCATGAACTGGCGCAGGCGCTGGCTTTGATGCTGCTACTGCACTCAACGATGGCTCAGCTTCACAACTAGAGTCCATGTATGGCACATGACCGTCAACCTTGAGCTGGATCAGAGCACCGTCAGGGCGAACCATGGTTGGTGCCTTCCCGGATTCCCAATGAAAGGAATATCCTTGATCCAGACACTTCACACCCAGCGACAGCACTGCGGGAGAACTCTCGAGGATGTAAGGCTGAGCAGGCTCGCACAATGCATCGACATTGATGTCGGCGATCTCGGAAGCAGTGATGTTTCCGTTTGCAGTCACAAGGCGAATAGGCTGCGGGGCCTGTTTTCGGATTGCCTTGGACGCATTCCTCAGTGCAGCCTTGCTGATGAGGTCCTGCTCACTACCGGAATCAATGAGCCACACATCCTTTCCCTTTGGGGCAGGGGTGGCTGCCCTTGGCGCTTCGACATCCTTGCGAACATCGTGAGGCGGCATGGCAACTCTCAGGCACTCATCACACGATAGGCTTGAGATGGAATCGGATTCCACATCGCACATGAAACCGCAAGCGGGCTGGGCTCCATTCTCCATGGCTTTGACTACGGCATTCAACTGATTCGCGGCCTTGCGCGCTGCCTTGTTAGTCCCTTTGGTCGGCCTGGGGCAGTCCTTGGCACTTGGAAACATCCTATTGTACTGACGTTCCTCATACTCAAGCTTGAAACCATCGCCTTCGGCGGGGATTTCATGAACATGAGCATTGGTGTCGAATGACACTCCAATTGGGTTGATCGGCTTTGCGAACATGGCGTACCTGGTGCAGACTGCAGCGGCTTTGGCCTTGGGCTTAGGCTTAGGTGAATTTGCACGCTTCTTAGCCGCAGGATTTGCATTGGCCTCGCTGCTCGATGCCGCGGCGGCAGATTTGCCGCCCGTGGAGGCATGGCTAAACTTGCATTTATCACCTCTCGTGCACTTCCCTTGGGCAAAGAAAGAACACGGTGCTTTCTCTCCTTTACCGCCTTTGGGGGAACTTGGCCTGCCGCGGGTCGCGGAGCGTCCTCGCGGCTCCTTGCGGTGCGCGTAAGGGCAGTTTGCCCCCCTCGTGCACGAGCCCTTCTGGAAGTCAAAACAGTACTTCTCCTCGGTGTCCTTCGGCTTAGGTGCGCTCTTTTTCTTGGGGTCCCTCTTTTCAGGAGCGGCAGCACCAGCCTTGGGCGTCGGGGCTTTACTGGCATTGACCTTGGACACGCGCTCTCGGTTCTCGCGAAGCCTATCCCTCTCGATTAGATCCCTCATGCAACGCATTAGGAAATCGTACGATTTATTGGGATCATCGTCACGGCAACGATCATATGTGTCGATGTCGTACCGCAACAGATGGCAGCTTCTCACTTGGCGAAGCAAGATGTCTTTCAACACCTTTTCTTCCGGCGGCTTTTTCATGCCGGCGATCACGGAATCCCAAGCATTCAGGAAACGCTTGAGATCGATGATTCCTTCGCCGTGTCGCGAGACACGCAACAGGTCCTCCAAGGAGTAGAGGTTTCCGGCTTCTTCACTGGTCTTGAAATATTGGTCAAACATAAACAAGACCTGCCTTCCTCTCATGGCCTTTCCCTCCTTGGCACATTCTTCCTTTGCTGTTAGGATTCGCTGAGCCAGATCGCCTTTCGCTGAACGCGTGAGCGCTGCGAGAATCTTCGTGTCTAGGGTCACGAATTTTCCCGGTTCGCCGAGCTCCTCCAACAGCTTCTTCTTGTCCTCGCGATCAGACCAGACTTCCATGATCCAAGGCCAAGCCTCGTCTGGACGGTCAGATGCAGCGCGGACATCCTCACGAACCGATGTTTTCCATTCACGGTACGTTTCAGGAGTTGGCATCTCCTTGAATCGCAACGTCTCGCTTTCGCGGGTTCTGGGCTTTTCATCGTTCGTGTGGCCTTTTACTAACTTCATCAACATTTTGGCGAATGCTTCTTGGCCGAGGTTAGGCCCAAGGCCATCACCTTCGTCTTCATCACCGTCGCCATCGCCATCATCATCAGGTGGCGGACCGCCGGGAGGCTTACCACCCTGCTTGCGGTCAGTTGACATTGGCCCCTGAGAGAATTGCAGGGGTGGGACCGGTGCACTTGTTTTCACCGGGGATCGGCTGCTACCTGATGGCTTTTCAGCTGGTCCTTGCGGATCGCGAGCATCTGCGGGCAGTGCTTCGCATTCGGCAGTTGGAATCACGCTAGGGGTATATTCATCCCCGTAACCGTCATAGGTAACAAGCGACCTCAACTTTTCCTTTGCATGTTGAAACGGATGGGTCAACGGGTCCAACATTGACCTTTGGGACCGAGCTGACTTCATGTCGTCGGTCATCAACTCTGGTGAATCCTCTCGGGTATCACCTACCCCTTTGGGCTTCGATCCATCCTCGCGGAGGTCGTGTTGCTTCTGATATTTCTTCAGCTCATCAAGCTCGTCCTGCAGAAGCCCGTTTTGGTGTGCCATCATGTCAACCGTTCTGGCGTGTGTAGCCTCGACACGGGCTGTGTCATCGGCATGCTTAGCAGCTTGCTCATGGAGGAGCTGCTGGGCTTCAGCCAGGGTGGATTCGATGGCTTGCCTAAACTCAGTTGTTTTGCGTCCCATTTCCGCTTCATGCAATGCTTGGGCATTTTCCTCACACACTTGGCTTATCCTAGCTTCAGCGAAGTTCACTTCTTGCATGAACTCATCGCTCACTCGCTGTTCGTATTCACGAATCCTATGCGACTGGGCTTGCACACATTCAGCGTAGTGTGCATGCAGCTGATTCTGTGCGGCACGGAGCTCCTCACGGTTTTCCGCTTGCAAATGCGTTACAGCTGCTTGATGCAGGGCTTCGGCTTCAGACCTAATGGCTGCATCATTCCCAAAAGCAAAGATTGCGGTATTGTACAGTTGAAGGGAATTCATCAGGGTGCGGTTGTATTGCGCATTAGCGCTTGATGCGAACATTCGCACACCGCCGCCGGTGGCGTTGCCGGAGCTAGCTCCGGCAGCATCCACAGGCATGCTGGATCCATCAACTGGCACAAGGGAACCGTCCATTGCTTAGAGCTAGGGGCCTACGGCTGATAACCTATAGATTCAAGGGTTACCGGTTTGGGGCCCAAAAGGAAACAACAAACCGTCCAAGTGCGCTGCTCGCACATTTTCACGCTTGAACAGCCACACTGCGGATGCAACGGATGTAAAACCCCAAACTGACCGATCAAATTCTTCAGTTTCTCCCTCCCCCAAACCATTTTTAAGGGCAGGGATCCCCCCGTGCCGAATCCCACGCAAGCCGAACCCCTCGAAACCCTCGAGACCCTTGGCCTCACGTGGTGGCCCAGAAGCACCTTGCCATGGGTTCGGAGATGGCCAGGTTTTCAAAGAGAGATCACATGCATGTGCGGTTTCGTCCCCCGAGCACATTTTTGGGTTCCTTTCAAATTAGAACAAGCATGTCCGGTAACCGAGTCCAGTATAGATTCCCTTTAAAATCACCAGGGGAAAATTAAAAAGCATATTCATTTTAAGCAAATGGAAGCTAATGGAAATCAGGTCACGAGATACTTACCTTGTTGGGTGGTTTCAACAACACAATTGCGCCTCTTGGCCACATTTTATTTCAGTACATGTTTTTTTGTGGGACAGGGTGCTCGAACAGGATTTATGGGGAACCCTTGACAAATCCCCCGCATCTTCGCGAAGGGGAGAAAGCGAGTCACCGGCTCCACCTGGCCCCTTCCGCTTCAAGCCCCTTTGAAAAGATGAAACAGGCATGCACGTAGGCCACACCATCAAACAAGGACAAAACAACGTCTCGAAATCAAGTTTAGCTTTGCCACGTCCATGCACCAAAAAAGCAGGGATCACCTGATTTCCCCTTCAAAAAATGATCCCTGTACTAGTAGTGTGTCTTGAAACTGCCACTTTTGGCGGATCCAAAACGGGAAAGAGGAGTGTCCTGAAAAAGGACTCAACCTGAAAATCCGAAGGACTCCCAAAACCGTCTCCCCAACCGAACCCCCCAAAAAAAAAACAAAAACAAAAAACCGGCCCGTCCAGCTGGCCGCTCCCCGAACCGCCGTGCGGAACCCCCTGCGCCGTCTGCGTGGCAGTCCGCGCCTTCCGCTGGTGTGCCACCAGTACTCTTTGGCGCTGCTGGGGTCCAGGAACTTGGCCCAGTCCCCTGGGCTGATCCATTGGGCTCACTCCACTTGACGAAGCCACTGCCACGAAATTTGCCGACTGTACCCACAGAACCCACTTCTTTTTCTTTTGTGGGTCTACTGCCTTTCCATGAAAGCATTTATTTTTATAAGCAGAAGATGAAAGAGAAAAGACCAGATACAATGAGGTAAAGGAAAGGAAAGGAGCAAAGCAGAGATGTAAACCAGAAATTCCGAACGAGTGGATTGCCCAACCCATGGGCGGCTGGGGTTCTGGGATCTCCCCGCCCAAATGGCAACAATTTTAGCTCCTGATTCAGCTCTCCCAAAAAAGTAGCACTGAGTATTTCTGGGTGTTGCGGATCCACCTCTGCTCACTTAACGAGTGGATTGCCCCCCCAAAAAAAGGCAATCACACGGTTCATTTGCCACTCAAATGGTCCAAACCCGAAAAGTGAGACTAAAGTCCAGGAACTCAGGGACTGAGATTGACCTCTTTTCTCTTTTCTTGCTTCTGCTCAGGGAATTGCCTTCTTCCAACTTTTTTGGGCATCAACCGTTTTGTTTCTTTCGTTTTTTCGGGCTTCCCGAAAAAAGGAAACTAAAAATGGATGGGTTTTTTTCCGGGGTCATTCCATTTCTCATTTGTTGCTGGGGCTTTCTAGGTAAAGGGCTTTAGCGAAGGGTTACAAGGGCTTGCCTGGGATCCACCGGGCGTGTCCGTTCTGTCGGGGTTACCCCAAAAAATGTGTTTTTGTTTGTTTGGGTCATTTTGGCTTCAAGAAAAGACAAGCCAAAATTGATAGCCTCTGTCCAATCAGAAGGTTTCGGAAGACTACTGCTCTCCTTTCAAAACCAGAGGTGAAGTTCCTCGAGGGTGCTGATGGATAAACTCAAATGCCCAGTGGATTTCCCCGGAGAAACAAAATTCCATCCGTTGATTATTACTTTTTTTTTGGGTGGGGTGGTTGACTTGAAAGGAGCCGGAACCCCTTCCCCAAAAGAGTGGGAAAAAATGCGAAATCCCGCCTGGGCAGAATCTGGTGTGTATAAATTCGGTGCCCCAACTAATCCGTTGCCTCAAAAAATGGGACCCTATGAATAAACTATTTTTCCAGACTGGCTGAAACAGCCGGGTCCCCAATACTACTTTTAGAATAGCGCAATTCAAACCAAGACTAAAGTGTCCGATGTCTCTGCCCAGACCAGCCCCAGCCTTAGGGGGCTCCTTGCACCAACCCAATACCAAATTATAAATGCATACTTGCCTTTTTCCAATTTATATTTGTGAAATTGAATTGTAATTCTAAGCTTAAACTGCGCCCTTTAGCTGTGAACCGCGAAAACATCAAAACTACCTTGAACGGTTTTATTGAAATGCGTTCCTCAAATTGCGGTTTTGGGGCTTTTCGTGTCCGGCAAAAGGTGAGCCCATTTGGACCAGGACCGAGGAAATCCGGTCGACCCCAAAGGACCCCATTAAAAAACATGTTTTGTCCCAGAATAAACGGAAAGAAGGGAACCCGGCGGAGTCATAGCTCGCTTGTTGAGGGGGATACCCCCAGTTTGCATAAAGGGGACGCTTATGCCCAGACCCGCGTAACTCCCACATGCCTGGGTCTTTCTCCATAAACCATTCGCTGGTGCTTTCCCGGCACCACCTTAGCATCCGGAGATACGCTGGCTGATCCCATGCTCTGCATGGCCAGCGAAGAAACAAACGAATGGCGTCCGTAGTGCGCCAACCTCCATCTCACTTCAGTGGATTGGCCAAAACAGGCCCAGACTTTCTGTTTGCCCCTAAAATTTGTCTTCCCAAAGTTCGGGAATTCAGAGAGAGAGAGAGAGAGCTATTGGGTTGGTGCACCTGGAAGGCTTGTTCCTATGTCTTGCAGTGCCGGGGCCGTGAGTGACACATGCCGTTCAATGGATCACCAACCTGTTTTGCTTTTCAAAGCAAGCTCCATCAACAGCCCATGAGCTTGAAGCATCACAAGCTTTCCCAATTGTACCTCACCTTGTGCTTTTGCAGGGACGCCGACATGAAGACAACCACTATGCTGGGGGGGCCCAGCATAGTAAGACACATCCCTTTTGGCAGTCCAGGTTTCTGTTCAAATGGAACATGCAGCCCTCAAAATGGGCATGAGCTTTTGCCCAAAAGGTATGCCACACCTTTTAGTCCGGCTCCCACCTGCGAACCTTCACTCAGCTCTCACCTCATGGGCCTTGGTCGGAAGTCCCGACCTGCTGATGGCGACTAAACGTGTTTCCTACTAAAGATGGTGATCTCATCCCAACGAGCCGGGGAGAACTGGTTTTCCAAAAAGCTCAAAGCTACTTGGAATAAAGCCCATAAACTTGGTTGTTGCTACCACTGGCTTGCAAGATTGTGATGCTGCTTGCTACGAATCTGATTTGTACGTGTGTTGTGATCTGGCCCGCCTGTAGCTGTTGCTGGGGAGAACACACACACGTACGAACAAGATTCCCCGAAAAACGTTACTTGGCTATGGGTCAAAACCCCGTACCCCCGCAGTGAACATCCCAATCCCTACTGCAATAGACCAGAATGGGTTGTGCACCTACCCCAAAATGGGCTACCATTGCTGTTAACCCACGGCCACTTGAGCCGAGCACCAGAACTCCTCGGCGGACTCCTCAGTGCAGTATCCTGGGCCGCGGCTGTTTTTTCAGCGGTTTCGTCCTGACTGAAGGGCTCCACCGCTGGGTCTATCCGCTTTTGGCGGGGACACAGGGAATCGGTTTCGGGCGCTTCCTCGGAAATTGCTGCAGATTCCGAAGTTAACATGGGGCCGGTGCGGTTCCATGGTGATGGGAGGGGCGCTGCTGCTTGCGTCAGACCTTGCTGCGGTGCTCGGGCCCAGTTCCAGGCCATCGCCGCGAGATCGCCTTTCCAAGATCAGCAGCGGTGATATGGCATCAAAATTAAACCACCCGGGGACCACAGGTTTTAGCGGTTCCATTTTGGGGTTGCCCTATATATATTTTTGACCCACACCCATAGGAATGAACTTAACTGCTCTTAGGGCATGAAGCTGCGGATTTGTGTAGATCCATGCAAACTGCATTGCAATTCATTCGCTGAGCTACGGCACTGATGTGGGGTGGGGTTGTCCCGCATTCCAAGGACAGCACCAAACGTTGTCACAGGAATATGGCCCAAGATGGCTGCAAAAGCTGGGCAATGGTAAACAGGTCAAATCGGAGTCCATTCGCTCCGGGCGGCTACGTACTTGCTTGCCCGGTAAGAGCGAAACTGTCCGCTTTCAAGAGTCAGGGGGAGAAAGAAAAAGAGAGGGAGAGAGAGAGAGTAAGAAAAAAAGAAAGAAAGAAAGAAAGAAAGAAAGGATGGAAGGATGGAAGGATGGAAGGATGGAAGGATGGAAGGATGGAAGGATGGAAGGATGGAAGGATGGAAGGATGGAAGGAAGGAAGGAAGGAAGGAAGGAAGGAAGGAAGGAAGGAAGGAAGGAAGGAAGGAAGGAAGGAAGGAAGGAAGGCAGGAAGGAAGGAAGGAAGGAAGGAAGGAAGGAAGGAAGAAAGATCAGCAAGACAGCGGCACGCTCAGCCCGGGAAATATGGCACCCAGGCCTCAAACACGACAAGACTGTTGAACGACTCTGCCGAGTGGCGTGTCCAGCCCTCCTCCCAAACATCCGCTTCCTGAGCATGGAGGCACACAGAAACACCCGCCGCAACCTTGCCGAGCATTTTCCACGCATTGCTCAAACACAACTATATAGTGCGGCGTGGAGGGTGGGCATAAGATGCAGATCTCCCACACTTTGCTTTTACTGGCCGAGATTTTCTTCACGAGACACTTCTTGGCTTCATGCCTGGCCTCGGCAGAATGGTCGTCGAGCGACGTGGGCAGACCGTGGGAGATGGTTTCCTCCTGACCGGTGCGCCAGCCCATCTTTTCTTTTGGAGTTCCCCCCCCCAAAAAAAAAGTGCCCTTCCAACGTGGCGATTTCCACATTCCGAAAGCGGGAAGAAAGCCCCGAACACAGCTGTTAAAACATGGGCACCCCCAGAACTGGCGGTTAAAACCTTTTGGTGAACCTATGTGAACCTATAAAGCAAGCTGAGCAGCCCACCCTCGACACAAAATCACAGAAAAAGAAGCTCTGGCGCCGGTCAGCTTTGACCAGCTAGCTCTTGGCAACCCGCCAGGTGTGAAGGCGCCAAAGGCGGCACACATCGTCATGCATCTGTGCGCACCTATCTGGATTGACAAAATGGTTACGGTTTCGCGTTTGGGGTTGTTCTAACGGGAAACCATTTAAAGAACACCACATGGTTTTGGGTTCCCCTATCGATACTGAGTCAATACTGAGACACTGGAACCCAAACGCCTGAAAGAAAGCCCCTTCCTCCTGCAACCCGCCCCGCTCCTGTGCAGTGCTCGCGGCATCCTGACAAGATATAAGTTGCAAACCGGGCTTCAAAACCCGAAAGCATACGAGACATTATCTGCCATGATTTCGTCCAACCGAGCAGCTGACTTCAAGTATGCTCATTTTCAGGTTTGGGGATGTGTTCCAGATGCCAGGCAAGCTCAAATTCATTGCCAGTCGCTCCCGGTTGAATTTGCTTGCACTTGCCTCTGCAGCTGGCTTGGTGGCTCATGTTGGCAGGTTCACGCTGGGAGTTGCTGGCTAGCCAATCAATCGGAGCCATGAAGGTAAGCAATCATGAGCACAGCCTCCTGCAGTTTGACATGAAACCCAAACCAAAGAACCAAAAGAGCCACCGCGCAATCTTGCTGCCCTTCGTTTGCAAGCTCAATTAAACTTTGGTTCTGAGACCAACCTCCTTTCGGGTGAACCCGTTTTATGGGTTCCGTGCTCGTTTCCTGAGAGGGTATGCACGCGCGAATGAGGAAAGACGTGCGCCCAGTGAGCTGATCGCAGTTCCGATTTCGGCGTGGGACCAATGCCCCAAGATGAGAAAGGTGTGACGCTAGGATGGTCGTTTCCCTTTTGGTTTCCCTTCCGAGCTGAAAAGGCTACCCAGCCTTGAAAAACACACCAAAATTTGGAAACCAGGCAGACCAGGCGGAACAATGGACTACAGTGCACAATTGAAAGTTGACAACGCCGCGGGAAAATGTACAGGACGCCAGCACCGCTGTCCATGAACAAATGACGGTTGGAAAGACCCTTTTGATTTTGGCTACGCATGAAAAGGAACCAGGAGTCTCGGCCACAGGAAATTGGATGGGACATCCTTCGTGTCGCTGATGTCAGATGGAAATTTGCTCATGTTTGTCCTCGAGCTCCTTCCGAATCAGTAGCAGTAGGAAGCCCATTCGGGCAACCAAGGCTGAGGGAGCAACCCCAGAAATCCTTCAAAGTAGTTTGCTCGTCTGCGTCCCAAAGTCTCTTGGCCCACAAGGCAATCCTAGTCAAAACGGCTACAGTAAGGTCATGCTCGAGCGGTCAATGGTAAAAAACACTTTGCAGGGCTCAGCACAGTCCGTGCCCGACTAATCAAACGGTACCAAGTGCACAGAAACGTTTCCACACTTCTTCTCTCCCCGCAAAATGAAACGGGGCACCTAGTACAATAAAGTGTTCGTTCGCTCTGAAAAATCCGGGTGCAATGATGTTGCCAACCATTTTTTACCCCTGGTCTTCGCCCAGCCCCAGCGACACCACGACCAACACCTCCTCCACCACCACCACCACCACCACCACCCACCACCACCACCACCACCACCACCACCACCACCACCACCACCACCACCACCACCACCACCACCAACACCTGACCTTGCGAAAGTGCTGCGCCTGCCACGAAATCTGTACCTGATCTCACGAAAGCGCTGCGGCTGCCGCGAATTCTGTACTTGTCCAGTATTTGTTTCCTCCGCGTACTGAGAAAGCCAGACAACCTCTGCAAACCATACCCATTCTCTAAACTGCTGATTTCCTTACATATCCATTCTGGCAAAGTGCTCCGCTTACAAATTTCGAAGACGGCAAATGCTTTATGTAAAAATTGTCCGCCGACAAATTTCCAAGGGGGGACTACATGGCCACCCCAAAAACCCAACAATGGACATGAAAATGGGTATCCAATAGTGTCACCGCCCCCCGGCCCCGCCAGAACATACTTCCCCCCTTGCTTTTCTTGTTCAGTACTTCTTCCTTCTGAGCACTAAGAAAGCCAGACAATTTTTGCAAACCATACCAATACTCTAAACTCCCGATTTCCTTACATATCCTTTATTTAAAAATGCTCCACCAACAAATTTGCAAGGGGCCACCCCAAAACCCAACAATGGACATGAACAAGCGCACTCAATAGTGCAAACTTTGTCCGGGCCGAAAGAACAAAAAAAGTACAAAACATCCTACTAAACCAATTCTAAGCAGAACTGGACCAGCTCAAAGAATTCTCAAACAATTACCAAAAAGAGACCACCCGAAACAATACGACTAAGCCAAAAGGCAGCATGAAGCAATACTAAACCAATACTAAACCAATACTAAACCTATACTGACTAATACTAAGCCAGTAATTTTACCCCGGATCAATACACCCCTGTCTATTAATATGGGGGTGTTCAGTGATAAATCCGAAACTCCCCCATATCAATAAACAGGGGCTTGTAAATGCGGGGTCAATTATTACTCAGCATAGGAAAGCCCCATGTTGGCGGTTTCCTCTGTTGAGGTCCGGAGATTTGTTTGAGGGGGGCCCTGAATTGTTGAGGCTCCCGCATTTTGCATGTGTCTCTGCCAAAGAAAAGAAACCGCATGAAACCATGATGGCCGCGAATGATGCCCTTCAGGGAAAACAGTGCCTCGACCCATCCTGAAAGCTTTGCACGTACGTGAGCTGAGTTGCATCTATCAAACGTCATTGTCACCGACATCCCTGGACCAAGTTGTCACCATGGGCAGCGTCCATCACAGTCCCATTTAGGCCCTGCCCCCGGCCTGCGTCTCAGTCCCACTTTGCTGTTGCTGCTCCTTGCTGCTAACGCTGCTTGCGCAAGGGGGCCCTCACACAGGATGCCTTTGCTGAAGCGAATCGGATGAACTGCATCATCTAAGTCAAGGCCGACACATCTGTTGCAAACTGAAAATTCAGTGTCCTTTTAGCTTTGGTTCCACACTTTGAAAGGAGCTACGTATCCACCGACCTTTACCTTTGGACAGGAATTGACAAACTCATCCCTGGTTCCACTAGGTGCTGTGTTCGATGTCAAGGGGACCCTAACATGGTGGCTCCGTTACTTTCCCTTCAAACCCTGAAAAGGGTACACACACAACTTACATATGTACGTGTATACATATATGTTATACACAAAAAATAGTTCGCTTACCTGATCTTGCGAAAGAAAAGCTGCAAATAGATCTTTCTCCCGTCCTGCATTTGGGGCATTCGTGCTGGGGTGTGGAAGGAGTTGAAAACCGCAGCTCCCACGGTCGAGTAAAGACGCAACGCAGACTCTGTGCGGTGATGGAAGAAGAATATAATGCTGTTTTTTTGTAACACCAGGGTGTGAAGGCAGTGGGGCGGCGCTCAGTTCTGAAATCTTCCGAACACACGGCGCGAGGAAAAAGCGACAGCAATCCCCCTATCCCCCTATCCCTCCCAGCTTCCCCTCCCACCCAACCTGGCTGACTGGACGTTGAGTATGGGCCCCGGGCGTGCCAAAAGACTGCGAGAAAAATCAAGAGAAACAATTAGTAGAGCCTCGGTTGTTTAGACTCTTTTGGGAGGAATCTCCCCTTGCTGTAATCTGCCAGGTTTCAGCTGGAGCCCACATTGCCAACATTGTGGAGACTCAGAGACCCCTCAGAAGAGCCGGGCTTCTTGTGCTGACCGCCTGCACGACTCCCCAAACGGACTGAGCTAGCAAAAACTGTTTCAGAGCTGAGTTCAGCCCCTGTTCAGGCACTTGAGACTGTGAGACTGGATTCCCCAGCAAGGAGCGGCAATTCAAATGTGTTGGCACGCGCACGCACAGACACAAACACACAAACACAGACACAGACACAGACACAGACACAGACACAGACACAGACACAGACACAGACACAGACACAGACACAGACACAGACACAGACACAGACACAGACACAGACACAGACACAGACACAGACACAGACACAGACACAGACACAGACACAGACACAGACACAGACACAGACACAGACACAGACACAGACACAGACACAGACACAGAGACAGAGACAGAGACACAGAGACAGAGACAGAGACAGAGACAGAGACAGAGACACAGAGACAGAGACAGAGACAGAGACAGAGACAGAGACAGAGACAGAGACAGAGACAGAGACAGAGACAGAGACAGAGACAGAGACAGAGACAGAGACAGAGACAGAGACAGAGACAGAGACACAGAGACAGAGACAGACACAGAGACAGAGACAGAGACCAGAGACAGAGACAGAGACAGAGACAGAGACAGAGACAGAGACAGAGACAGAGACAGAGACAGAGACAGAGACAGAGACAGAGACACAGACAGAGACAGACACAGACACAGACACAGAGACACAGACACAGACACAGACACAGACACAGACACAGACACAGACACAGACACAGACACAGACACAGACACAGACACAGACACAGACACAGACACAGACACAGACACAGACACAGACACAGACACAGACACAGACACAGACACAGACACAGACACAGACACAGACACAGACACAGACACAGACACAGACACAGACACAGACACAGACACAGACACAGACACAGACACAGACACAGACACAGACACAGACACAGACACAGACACAGACACAGACACAGACACAGACACAGACACAGACACAGACACAGACACAGACACAGACACAGACACAGACACAGACACAGACACAGACACAGACACAGACACAGACACACACACACACACACACACAAATTGCCAATAGCCAACCATTCAACCAAGCTTGCGCTTATCAGGTCCGCTCGCCGTCCACTGACACTGGCTGCCTTGGCCTTCTTCGCCAAAGCCGAAACCAAGCCCCCCGCCTTTCACAGGAAAAGTGAAGTGACACCAAGGTTAAATAAATTGAAATGGGGAGCTGGGTCATTCAACATCATTCAACGATGACTTGCTCCAAGATGTGTTACGTGCATGTTGCATGCATGTCGCCTCCTGCCTGCACGATTGTTGGAGATCCGGGACAGCCGACAGCCCCCCTTTGGCCCACCAACCGCAGCGGGTGATGTCTGAACCAGGCAAATGGGGACAGGTGAGCTGAGTTTGTCTCCAGGGCAACTCCCAAAATGGGAGTTTTTTCTTGTCCCTCGAAACGAGCCCCACAAAACCTCGGTTGCTTTCTGCTCCCCTGCTAAAAGTTTAACCTTTAGCGGTTTAGTACGGAAAACCCATGAGTTGGCAAACAAGCTATTCAGTCCTAGCCTCCCTTGGCAAAATGCAACGAAGAAAAGGGTGTCCTTTTCAAAACCGCAAGAAACCAACCGGTGCCCGGAAGCCGTCAAAATCCCGGTTTCCCCCACTGAACATCCCAATCCAACCACTAAAATAGGTTCTGAAATGGGTGGATTCACCTACGTACCATTGGTTTTGAGCATATTCCGAAACCGGTGCCCGAAAGCCATTTCGCCACAGCCAATTCCAGTCTCCTGCGTCTCCGGCAGCTCCTGCTCCTGATGCATCGGGTCACAGCTATCGGCGATCTGCATTCTCTGCTAGGCTGCACCTTCGGTTCCCCTGAAAAAAACAAGTATATATATATATATATTAAAAAAAAACACAATGTAGTGATAGATTCCCTTTCAAACCAGCAAGGCAAAACAATAATAACACAAATAGTCTTAAGCAAATAATTATTAGAGATCCGACCGCAACTAGAGCAATGGGCTAACCGACTGTTCATTGCCGAAATTGGGTCAACAGCCATTAAATCAGTTTTATTGCCAGTAGTCTAACCGGGGCTCAACCTTAGACTGCAATCTTTGCCTAAGGACCTGGAAGCAAACGTCCGTATTTGGGGCTCTGATGAAATATAGACAACTCAAAGGTCAAAAGGTTGCCGTTGGGCAAGTCAGTCATTCACCTGCCTAAGGACTATCAAGGACCTTCGTCATAGATCGGTTTGATGTTTAAGCCCCTGGTAAGCGGCTGATGCTTGGAAACATCATCTTCTCGTTTGCAAACATCCCATTTGATCTCATTCGCAAGTTGATTTGTGGAGAGGCGGACTTACCTTCTGCCCCCGATTCGAGCTCGCTTTCGTGAAAAAAAGACAGGACCCCCTTTAGGGTGCTGCCTGAATTTGGGGGGAGGTCCTGAAAAGCAGCTCTGAGAGGGTATCTGCACTTTTGGGGGGGCCGTCTCTACCCGAACAAAACGTTCAAGCTGACTGACTGTCGAAACAAATGTATATAAACTCACATGTGAGCCCCGTACATGCATCCAGGGATATGTAGATATATATATATGTATATATTAGGCAACAATGTACATATACACAAGCAATGAACATGTGGCATGGACTTGTTTATGGATTGATAGAGAGGTACCCCAGCCAACTCCCTCACATATGCACGTCAGGAAATGGTGCGGCCTGGCTTTCTCTGAGGCTGTGGGACGAACTCCGTTCGCACCACTTTGAAACCAAGCGAAGCCATTGTTTGTTGGCATTTGCAGGGGGAATCATTCATTCCAGGATTTCTGAACGGTGCAGGGTTTCGCAACCATCCACAGTAGCACCGGGAGAACAGGGGCTCCCAACACATGGAACATCCGAAGCCTGAAGCAAGAACACGAGCCTAAGGAACGGACTCCCCCGAATCGGTGGAATCGCCATAGCATCGGCGGCTTGCAATCGGAAGGGTCACTCCAAGCTGGGGCCAACAGCTCATGGTCAAACCCACGGTTTAAACAACCGCCCAGCTTCCTTGGAGGGGGGCTGGTTCAAAAAACATCCGTCTTATCACTGACCGCTTCAACTTGACTTTCGTTCAGAAGCAGTTGCCTCTGGTTCAAGCCACCATGCAAAATGAAAATGGTGCTCATATAAACACCATTAGGAGTTTCATCCTCCAAATTGGGTCAACCCAAAGTCTTTTGATGGGAATGGGTTGAACCCATTCGGAAGCATAGCTGTCCTTTTAGTAAAACTAATTTAGGGGAAAGCAGATGAGAAAAAACACCAGGTAAACCAGGAATCGAAACCCATGCTATTTTTCTTTCGACCAAAACCACCTTAAAACGGACTCCGCCAGGGGGAGCTGCCACTCTCCGGGTTCAGTTCCCCCCACCTCCGCGGCTTCAAGGTGCATGGCCTTCGGCTGGCCCTGAGATGCCCGGCTTGGACTCAGATGGTTTTTGTGGATTTCCGCGGAGAAAAAAGCGGCGGCATCCTTTTTTGGTCGTCTTTACAGGGGGAACCTTTTTCCCAAAAAAGGAAAGAGGGGCACCACTCAGCCGATCTTTTTTGGGGGAGTGGACTTTAAAGGGGAACCCAAGAAAGATGGAAGAAAGGAGGGGGAAAATCGGCGTCCTTGTTTGGTTGGTTGACTTTAAAGGGGAACAGTTCCGAAGGGAAAAACAAAAAAACAGGGCACCACTGGGCAAGAGGGTGGAAGATGTGAGTCACCTGGTGGGGTTGACCCAGAATTCAAAGACCGGAGATCCCGAATCCATGCTTGGGACTGTCCCATGTCCAGTCAAATCCATCCTGGTTTTTGATGGCTCCTGTTCCTGAACATCTTACAGGTGAAGGCGCCTCGGAGTTCACAAATGCGTTTTTTGCCACAGCATCTAGCTGGCACTCTTCTTGTTGGGCGAGCATGAACTAAAAGCTAGAAATTCATGCCACAACCATACTCCCTCACTTGAAACCTTACTGGTGGAGACCATTCCCCTCACAGGAAACCTTTCCCCTCATACCATACCCCCTTCACTGGAAACCTTACCGGAGGCGTCCTGAAGGTGGAGGTTCCCGGAAGAGGAGTCTGGGTCAAGGTGGCTGCAAAACCTTGTCCCAGGCCCCTGCAGGTTTCATGCTGCAGGGACGTGGACACGAGCGATCATGTCTTGGATCTTTGGGTGGAAACGGTAGTAACCGTCTTGAACTGGGTCTGACTCCATTTTCGGGACTTAGCCCCACCTTGCCTTCAGTAACTTGGATGTTCAACCTGCTTGGGGTGAGACGTTTTCCAAGCATGTTTCATGTCAAGCCGCTGTTACCCACTTATGACAATGGCTTGAGCATCCAAGCAATCATAGTGCTCGCCAGGCAGCTTGCATCCGAAAAAGCTGGCCTTATTGACAGTTTCACCAATTAGTCCCCCAAGTGCTGTCAATATGCGAGGCATGTGTTGTAAAGCGAGGCTTTGCATATACAGTACCAAACGCTCAGTTGAGTGTTGGAGTTCGGTGTCTCGCATCTTTCGATAAACCCAACAGTGAGCCACGTTCTCAAAACCCGGGTAGATGAAGGTGAAGGGAGAATCCAGAATCCCAACCATAAATGGGTGCCTTCGCCATTCTTTACATTAACATGGTTTTGCGTAGGATTAGTATCATTATTATTACCAGGGTTTCATGCAGCACAAGGAGGCACAGGAAAGGAAACAGCAGCAGCGTCTCCCGCAATACTCCCCCTTCCCAGCTCACACACATTACCCGTGAATCAAATACATGCATATGTGTGCTTCCTGTGATCATCATGGCTGTCGTAATGCAAACTCCCTTTGTAAGGTTCCCAACGTGTCAAATTCCAGTGGCCATAACCCTTTTGTAGCTGATACTCAAGGGAAGACCCAAAAAATATAACAGCCGCGCGCTGGTCTTTTATCATGTTTCCCTATAGCATCCCGCAAACTGTGGTTCTGTTTGGTTTTGAGACAACACACGCCCGAACGGAGGCGATCAGATCGCTGGCTTAGCTTGGCATTTCGGCTGAGCTTTGCTTCCCGCCTTCGCTTGGTCCAAGAAGATCTTGAACTTCACCACGTCATTCACCTTCACATTGTTAGGTCTAGAAAAAAAAGAAAACAAAATGGCTCTCCGATTTGGCTTCGTCTTCAGACACTCATGTTGGGTTCACATGGGCCATGTGAATCCCGAGTTGTTGACTTTAATAAAGACCTGGCAACAAAGCCTAACACAAAGCCTAACAAATAGGTCGTGCCAAAGGGTGGGGCTATACCCAAAGGCCCACCAAACACAGCGGAAGCATGCCGGTTGTTATCTACGAGGTAACTGATCCCGTTTTGGATTCTGCTCGTGGAAATGAACGACTTTGGGCTGTTTAGCAAGCAGCATGAGCCAGAAAGGTTAACTCAAGTCTGTCGAAACTCCCTTCACAAGCCTCACGACCTGGTCTTATACCTCTTGGGCCCCCCCTCCGCCAGGCTGAACATACCCCAAAACAGAAGGGATTGTAAGCCCAGCTGCCAAAAGCATCGGTTGGGGCTGGGACCGCCCCAATCGATCTGTACACCCAAAAGCTCAGACCAAATATAGGCTTTCTCAACCTGGTTAGAAAGGTTTTTATGTGTTCCTTACTGTAACCTGTAAACCTCATCAATGAATTGCCATTGTAATGAAACGCGAGCCCTTACTATAAGCCCCGTGAAGCCCGGGGGAAGAAAAAACGGGAACTGCGCACTAAATTTGCCCGCAAGTATCGCTTGGCGCTCAATGGGCGGGCTGGAGACTATGCTGAAACGGCTGGCATTGTCCAGCCGTGCGCCCATTGACCAGGAGAAGAATGATCTTGGGTTCACCGCTCCTTTAAACGAATCAGTACATATAACGACAGTGAAGATTTAGACTCACCTGTATCTAGATAACTCACATGTTGAGGGTAGCGGACAAATACCCTCAACTACATTGTTTGGTGTGGCTCTTGAGCTTCCTGTGCCCAAAGGAAAGCAAAGTCCCCTTTCGTGGGCCGTCTGATAGGGAAACTGCTGGAAGCAGGTCACTGGATTTCCCCTTCAGAAGTTGACATTTCCTGCTGGTTTCCATGGAACCCCCCCGCCCCCCCCGTGGCGCCCCTGTCACTCTCAGAAGCCCCTTTCCAGCCTCAAAGTTCTTCCGCTGCTTGTGGTGCAGGAAAACGTCCCGCTTGAAGCGGTCGAACCTTAAATATCTTGGAAGGTCAGCGTGGCTTTTGGCTGTTTGGTGCTTCAAGGGCAACCAAAGATAGGTCCGATTTGGGGGATCCCAGCTTGAAGTGACCCGCATGTCAACCCGAAAAAATGTTCTTCTTTGGCTCCTTATCTTTGAGGATCAACGGCATCACCCCGAAAGCTGCGCACTGGAAACACCGTACCGCCGCACCCCAGGCACCAAAACGAAGCGACCAGACGAAGCTGGGAGTGGGGGCAGCTCTTGGCAGCTGATGAAGCCGTAGCCGGTATCCTCCTTGAAGGATTTGATGCGGCCCACGTACCTATGGAATGACATGAGGACTCAAGAGGAGTTGGCTCCAATTCGGGACTCACATTTACTCCGAACCAATCTGCGGCGGCCCCTGGACAAAATGAACACCGGAAAACCACAAGGTCGAAAGGCTGTCGTCGGGGCAAGCTTGCACAAATGACCACATCGCTCCGATGGCCAGACTTTAGGCACGGCCAGTCGTTGCCAGGAAATGACACAGCACCGAGAAAATCTTTGAGAAGGGCATCGGAGAACCATTCCAGCCATTCACTTCATTTTTCCACCATGCTACGGTGCTTTGGCCGCATCGGGCGCGTGTCGACTCAACAAGCGTCGGGTCACTGCCGGGCTTCGATGTCGAAACTGGCTTTTGGCGGCTGCGGCCTCTGCAAGCTGATTGCCCTTTTGAGGCATGCATCATGCATCGCATCTGTTGATCTGCTGTGCGCAGCCAAGTGGTTTGTGCCCATCACCGTCCCGCCTTAATTCATGCCAGCGCGTGGTTAGCAGCCGCATTCCCTTTGTCAATCAATTCCCGGAGAAAAGAATCCGCACTGCAAAATGGCTTGCTTCAGTAGGGGACACTCATCAGGGGTTAACACGAAAGACAAACAGCTCAAGCCCCTGAGATTCAAATATTTCCGATGTCCACTAAACGCCACGTCAGCTTACATCAATTTTGGAGGGTGGTCGACATGCCCACTTGTCTGGTTTTCAATTGGCGCCCAACCCCCAAACCAAACGCATGCTCAAGCATGCGCCCTTGCATTACGAAAGCGGACGATGATTGGCGTGCTTGTGATGCGTTTGTCCATGGCATGGTCGCATCGCCGCATCGCCCGTTCATTGCTGCGATGCTTGCGCGCACAAGGGAGAAATATGTGCAAGTCTGCATGCTAGTGCATTGACGTTTGCCTTGCACTTGTCTGTTCTGCTCCTTCTCTATGCATTCCTAGCCCCCTGCCCCCACCCTGCAGCCCCCCTGCATAATTGTGGCCAGACTTAGACGCGCTGCCCAAACGTCAACTTCCTGCTGGTGAAGAAGAAAGAATGAACCCCCAAAGGGCAAAAGGGCAACAATGGCCAGCCAAGTCGGACAATGTAATAAGATCTTCGCTACATAGGCAAAGGACCTCTTGTTGTGCCTCTGGTTTTCAATGCGAACCCCCTGCAATTGTAGTTGTTGGACACAAATCCTCGCCTAAATGATGCCCACCAGCAAGCCACCAATTAAAGTTCATACCCTGCTGGAATTGGCGTCTCAAGGGCTTGCAAAGCAATCACTGGGCTACTTCCATGGGACAAGGGTAATCGTTTGGTTGGCCAACCTTGCTTGCAGAAAACGATGCTTGTGATACCAGTGAAGCATCCCCACGAAGTGATCACTTCGGGGATTCCCTACCATCACAGAAGCTGGCCTCAAAACTCATAAAACAAATCCAAAACCATGACCCTAGAAGCTTGGGTGCGGTAGATCCCAGCACAAAGTTTATCTGCAGATTAAAAGAAAATATGAGGGGGATCCAAAAAGGTAAAGTCTAAAGATCCAACCAAATAGCAGTCGAGGAAGGAACCCTATTTCGGTTGGTTGGCAACTTTTGAGTGACTCCAAGCAAACATGTCACCCCTTCGGCGCCCGCCCGGGGCCTGTCTGGAGCCTCCGTGATGCGCACCACCCGCGCCTGGTAGAGTTGACCCCCTCTGGCCACTTCCGATGACAAGAGCAAACTGCATAACGTTCTTCTAAATTAGCCGTACCAACATGGAGAACCCAAACCCCAGAAAGGATTTCAAGTCCAGGAACTCAGGAAGTGAAGAAGCTGCCTGATCAATTCGGAGCCAGAACTTGGGCTCACACACTGGGACAGAAATAACTCCCAGCGGTTGATAGAGAATTTGGCTTGGTTTAGTTTGAGGATGGATTGATTCATTCTGTCTTCACATTGGCGCCAACATGTGGCCAAACCCTGGCTAGATGTTCTAGGAAGCTGCTCCCAAGGGCAGCCCTTAAACCTTGGCCAACACCCATAAACACTTCGAGCAACATGAACACAGAACACACGATCCTATGGCAATAACTTGACCCCCGACACCCATGGGTTCTCCAAAAAGGAATCGGAACTGCCCATGTTTGGGAGGCCCAGTGGCTTCAACCTTCACAACCATCCCAACATCAGCTTCCCAGCTAATTATGGCTGGTTCGGATTGATGGTTTGGGGTTCGGGGGTGGCTTCCCATTTACCCATGCAAGAACCAGGTTTCAAACTTCCCCCTCCACACCTCCAAACCGCCGACGAAGGAAAACCAAAAAGACAAGTTGCTGAGCCTCAAAACGCCGCACTCAGACGACACAACTCTGCTTTCGTTCGCCTGCGGCCGGCCGCTGCGGTCGAGGCTAAACCAGAAGCTGCACTTGGCGCCAACTTGGATCTTCTCGCTGACCTGCAAGTTACCCGAGGACCGTGGAGACCTTTGGGGACCTCGGCCATAGCCCAAAACCTTGGCCCACGTCAGGGTGTACACAGACAAGACCATTTGATCCTGTTTTGACATTGAGACTACCCTAAACTACAAAATAGTGTTTGGGACCCAAGAGCAAGGCGAAACCATCACGTTGAAACAGTTGGCTGTAAACAACCGTGAAGCGCACTCGCAAACATCTCGCAAACAAGTGCCTGCGACCCTGAAAGGGGGGGAGCTCGACTTGTTGCCGAGCAACTGACCCCATGAGCCAGTTTTGCCTGGGAAAGCCAGGAAGCCCTGAATAACGCCCGTTACATTCCGGCCTTTATAAACGCCGCGGCCTGTGACTGGGTTATCGGTGAGTGTCACTCGGAGCGTCGTTTCTAAGGCTAGGCTAGTTGCTCAGGGCAACATCGGGACGATATTTCATTGAGAACCCTCTTGTGGACTTTATGTTGCCCCCTGATCAATCAACCCCCAGTTATTCACGGGAGTCCCCTGCCACGCAAAAGGGAGCCCCCTTAAGTGGGGGGTTTACTTTCAAAGATCAGCTCCGGCTTTTTATGCCCATCTCGATTTTTCCCCCTGACATTGTAGAGAACCGTCCTCCCCCAAGCCTTCTCAGGGTCAACGTCGTACACCTCGTTCAGGTGGAAGTGCACATCGCACCTTACGTTGCGGAGTTCAGACACAGAGCACTACGAGTGGCGCTAGCCAGAGGGCCAAACAAGCGGCCAAAAGAACAGCTAAGCCATATCTGAAGCGTCATGTGAACTTTGACTTGGACTATCATCAAGTGATTGGGTTGAACAGGGGAGGGGGATCATTTTCGAACACCGATTTTGGATCATTTTCGAACACCGATGTCCTGGATCATTTTCGAACACAGAGTGGGTCATTTTCGAAAACATGGGGGGCTATCCTGCGGCAGGTGGGGCAGTTACGTTTGCCTCTTACTGCGTGACCGTGCCACTGCGTCCTGGGGGTGGGGGTGGGGGTGGGGCGGGGCAGTTCCGTTCGCCTCTTACTGCGTGACCGTGCGACTGCATCCTGGGGCTGGGGGAAGGGGGTAATTACGATCGCTGACTGCGTGACGGTGGAACTGCGTATTGGGGCTGGGGGGGGGGGGTGGGGCGGGGCAGTTACGTTCGCCTCTTACTGCGTGCCCGTGCAACTGCGCCCTGGGACTGGGAAAAGGGGGCCCCGAGTCCCAAGTTACCTTGGCTTTTTCAGCTCAGATGTCCTCGGTGATTTGCGCTCGTTGGCCCCCGTAAAGCCGTAAAAACTCGGCCTAACGGCCGTAATAACTCGCGCGGGAAACTGAAAGGCCGTTACTACTCCGTGAAAAAGCCGTGAAAACTCGTGAAACTTCAAGCTCTGAGTTATCTTGTCCTCGCGACACAAAAACCTCCTTAGCTCATACGGCCTAAGTAACTTGCGAATCGGAGCTTCCTGGAATTGCGATCGCCGCTTACTGCGTGGCGGCGCAACTGCGTTCGCCTCTTACTGCGTGACCGTGCGACTGCGCGCTGGTGGTGATGGTGGTGTTGTTGGTAGTGATGATGACGGTGTTGATGATGGCCATGGTGATGATGATGATGATGATGATGATTATGACGATGTTGATGATGCTGATGATGTTGTTGATGATGATGGTGATGTCGACGTTGATGTTGATAGTGGTGATGATGTTGTTAATGATGATGATGGTGATGATGTTGAGGTTGACGATGTTGAGGATGTTGATGTTGTTGGTGATGATGATGATGGTGATAATGATGGTGATGATGGTCATGTTGATGGTGTTGTTGATGATGATGATATGGATGTTGGTGGTGATGTTGATGATGGCGATGATGATGTTGGTGTTGATGTGGATGAAGGTGATGTTGCTGGTAGTGATGATGACGATGTTGATGATGATGATGGTGATGATGATGATGGTGATGGTGATGATGATGTTGACGATGTCGGTGTTGATGATAATGATGATGATGATGACGATGATGATGTCGCTTTGCGTTCCTTGTGCTTTGTGTTCCCGGGTCTACAGTTGACGATTGTCTCCCAAACGCACGGCGCCATCCATGTGCTACACGTGCATCGTGGTGCGTGTTCGTGCGCCTCATCGTGGTGTGCATGGACACTTGGAAAAATGGCCGTGCTGCTGTAAATCACATACACTTGAGGAAAACCGCGTTCAAAAACGAGCCAACACACGCGTTCAAAAACGAGCCAAAAACACGCGTTCAAAAACGACCACCTTCCCGTTGAACAGCCCAGGCATGCGATTCGTGGTTTGCAAGATGGCGTCAACGAAGCAACCCTGGGACAGCCAAAGCAACCTTGAGGGAAACAATCAAACAAATACGCACATATTGGCCCGTCAGACATTCAATCATGTTGACACCTCATGCAGGGCTCCTGTGGGTGGCGAAAAATCCTACACCTCTATGAAACTATGGGAAACCATTGTTTGTCGGTATTTACAAGGAAATCATCGTTTCAGGGTTTCTTAGGTGGTGCAGGATTTCGTCAATCCACAGTAGGAGCACGATCGCAAAACACCAAGTGCGTGCTTTTTTGTCAGTGGGCATCCCTGGAAACAAGCACAAACTTGGGAGCCCGTTCGCACCAGCTGGCACGATCGCAAACCTGAAGCCGAAGCTGCCAGCCAGAAAAAAAAAACGAGCCAAGAACAAACACCCATCAAACACCCTTGAAGTAATTTCAAGACACTGGATTGTGTAGGTATGCTTCGGGGATGGTAGCTGCCTGACTTGAGCCAAACCGACTGGCGGCCACATAAACCCCGTGTTGGATGCGAGGGGCTTCATCATATCCCAGACCTGGGGCTCGGAGATGAAGCCATAGCCTTGCGACAGGGTTCGGAAGGCTGGGAAGCAGGTCGCCTGGGGGGGGGGGGGACTTGGGCACCTAGGTCCTCCAGTAGAGAGGTTAGAATGAGGGTACCCTTTTTTTCTGGCACTCTATTTAAGTATGGAGGTGGACGAAAATAGGCTTGAGGTTTCAACAGCCAAGGTCCATGAGGAAGGGCAGGTCAAGGAACAATCCGGCAACCCAGACCGGTACCCCTGACTGTCCCATGCATTTTTTTTATACATATACATTGATACATACATATATATATATATATATACATAATGTGTTTATATATGGTCCCCAGTTTCCTGGCGATTCTTGATAGGCCCTTTTACAGAAGTTTACAAAGGCCCACATCTGACCAGGGAGGGGGATTCCTTCACCTCAGTGACAGGTGAAGCTTTACGACCGTTACATTCTGCCTCGCTTTCAGAGGCTTGGAAGAACCAAGCTTGCCAATTCATGATGAGACTGGAGCAAGGAAACAGGGCAAACATTGGATTGGATCGCAATGCTTGGCCTGTTGAGTTTTGGGAAAACATACATCGAAACTGGTTTTGTGCGAACTAGCTAAAAACACAGAACTCCAAAACCAGGCCGCCAGTGATCTGAAGCGAGGACCCACTTCTGTTCTGTTTGGCGGGTGCTTTTGGGCGCGAGACGTATTTGTCAGTGCGTGTGACTTGTCAAAGTGTAAGTAGAGGACCCCGAACATGAGTTGTCCCAACCTGAAAAAGGTACTCGAACACATACACTCGCAACAATAATTGCACGCACACAAAACCAAACGCGCACACACACACACACAAACACACACTGGCCTTTGCTTGCGTTGAAGCTCTTGATCTCGCCGAAGCGTTTTCTTCCTGGTGGATGCATGGCGCAGTTGGCTGGGGTGAAATTGATAGATCGCCGGGGTAAGTGCAAGCAACAGCGATCCGTCCCACAAAGATCTGATGCAAACAGTAGGGGCCTCTGGTTTGATCGGATTGGGCTCAAGACTCAGGGGTTGCAATGCAATTGAGCTAGTCTGAGACATAGCCTCCTTGCTGGGATCTACGGAAATAAGCACATACTGCATGCACTGTGCAGCTCTCACATGCCCCATGCCGAAACCTCCCACAAACGAATGTCTTCAACCCCTGTCAACAAAAGCGATCGGATCTGGTCGGAAAGCTTTGTGGGCCTCCGTTCCCGCTTTTCCCCCGATCGCAAGCCATCGGCCACCTCCGCAAAAAATGGCCAAAGTGCGGGAAGTGGATTCCGAACACCAAAGGGGCATTTAAAGAGTGCCGCTGGAAAAACAAAACAACAACAACATGTTTTTTGGTCCGTTAGATTCGTCAAATTGCGGCAGAGGTTGCCAGGCCGGACATTTTATGGACTCCCCAAAAGGACCTCCATGGAGTGCCCGTCCCATCCCAAAGTCCGTGGCTCGGTTCTCAATCTGACAGCGAAGACCTGGAACCAAAGATCTTTGGTTGCACTGGGCATGTGTCAAAATGACCCCCCAAAAAAGAAAAACATGCCCCCCCCCCCACCCCAAATACCCCCCCCAAAAAAAAAACACACACAACACTGGATTTTTCTCCTTTGACTTCTCTTGTCACCAGGCTTTCAAGGGCCACTTTTCCCAACACACACACGCATGGAGCAGAAAAAACATGCTTCCAGAAAAAACGAGCGGAACAAAAAAAACGCCGAGCCCGAAGAGTGCCCAGTGTTCCTTGCTTGCTGGTACGATAGCCAGGGGATGGCCGAGCCCGGGTTTCGGGAATCTGAACCGTTTTGGGATGCCCGAGTAAAGGACACCATGGGATGGATGTTTTATAGGGGTCATTGCATTTTTTATTCCCGTTGGGTTCAAATGCGAAGCAGGGGCCAATGACCTGTTGGCTTTCAGCTGCTTAGAAGTTGCAATGAGCAAATGCCACTTGCCCGAAAGATCGGGGAAACCAACACCAGAAAATTAAAGAAAGTCGATAAGGAGCCACTGGATTTCAGCTTCAAGCGTTGATCAACTTGCTAGCAGTTTCCTCCCGCTACTTTTTGGAGGTCCAAACAAAGAAAGTGAGGAACCCATGTCAAAAGGGCCTCAGTATTTTGCCATCAAAGGACTTCGCGCGGAAATGGTCCCTTTGAATGGAAGACTATGCTCCAAACCAGGACTTTTCGAACGTCAGGTTCCATGTCAATTGGTTGGGGGGGGGACACGGCCATAGGTATCCTTTTAGGGCAAATAGAGGGGTTTCCCTGGTAGATAAGAAGAAAATCACCAGGTAAACCAGGAATCTCCATGCTACTTTTTGTTTCGACCAAAAAAAGGACACCTATAATGGCAGTTTGGCTCTGAGTCCTTGCTTGTCCCCAAGGAGGCTGTTGTAAATGATTGCCGGCGGCGGTCTGGCGGGCGCCTGGCAGTCTGGCAGTTCGGTTCGCGTGGCCTTTGGGGAAGGCCCAGGGCACAAAGAAACACTGTGATAGGAACTAGGACTTTTATCCTCACGACTTGATTAGAGAAGGGAATTCCAGTACTATATCAGACTGGCAATCATTCTTTGCTTTCTCCCAAATGGCTGGAGGACCATCCAAACCATCCATCCCCACTTCTCCACTTCGACTACCGCAGCCGCCCTTCTGGTAGTCAGTCCGCCGACAACTCCGCTTCATCAGAACCTTTTGCCAGAACATCGATTGGTTATGCGACCCCGGCCCAGCACAACATATGGAACCTGCGTATGTCCAGACATACTTCTCCACAACGCCAGAAAGAAAGGACGGCTAATGTGATTTGTGATCCCTGCACTGGGGACCCAAGATTCATGAGCCCCTAGTGCATTAGTGGGGGCGTGCCCCGTTTTTGCTGGATTCCTTCGACTTTCGGGGAACACCCTCTCATTGATCCGACTGGTTGATTCATTTGGCTCGACATTGTGTGCTTGTGTTCCTTGACCCCAGAACAAGCAAAAGAAACACATGTTTCGTGTTGTGATCCCTGTACCTGTTTTCGTTGACCCCGACGTTTCTTCATCGGCCGAACCCCCAACTCTGCAAGTGAGGCCGTCAGTCCGGATCTCCGCGGTTCTTCCTCAGTCCGGGTGGGTCGTTGGCCCCCGGCAAAAAGTGTTTGATTTAATTTGCTTGTCGCCCCTCAGAAACGGAAAGACCATAGTAGAAGCATGCAAGCTTGGACCCCTCAAAGAACTTCAAACGCATGACGTTATGACATGAACCAGGTGAATGCGAGAAAAAAAGAGAGGATATTTTTCTGGCTAAACGTTTGCACGGAAAAGGGTTGGCCATTTTCAGGGGTTTGTACATCTGGTCGGCCAAAGCTTTGCATTGGGACAGGCTCATGGGAGGGGAGGGCCAGCTTCGTGGCCTGACTGAAGGCCTTCCTACCGATTCCTACCTGACAAATCCTTGGTATGTTTCGCCGCAGCAGAGATCCGGGACTCCCCCAGAATCCTGAAACTTCCAGGTCCCCTGGTGAGTTCTGGCAGGGTGTTTATGAAATGTCGAGGAGAAACATCGTACTAGGGCCAATCTGTTTGTCATAAGCCAAGGCATTTCATGGCGCTCTCTTTTTGCCAGCGGGTCGCAAGACCTCGGGAAAAAGCAAGACCTCGGGAAAAGGGAATCCGCCGGCAAAAACGCCGAAACCTTTGGCGTCTCCTCAAACCGACGCCGGGGTGTCTCATTAACGCGCAGCTGCGACCCTGAAGCCACTCAACGAGTGTCAAAGTTCAGATGTCAAATGGCTGGTGTCCAAAATCCTCGTTGAAGCCAATCTCTTGAACATAGAAGTTAGAAGTTCAACTTGTATGCTTCCATCTTGTGGCATTCCAGCCGAGGCCGCTGGGGCTATCGCTTCCGCGGCAAGGGCCCTTTGAGTCGCCCGAACGGCGTACTGGCAGTATCTACCACTTTCGGAGATATGCCACATCTCAAAGCTTGCTGCCCTGCTCTTGATGTTTCTGGGGTCCTCGACTTGAGTCCTGAAGGCTTCTTCCATGCGCCCTTGACGTGCCGGTCAAAATTTCTTGAGTTCCCAAACACGGACATTTGGCGGATGTGCACCCCCTGTAAAAATAATAGTAATAGAAATAACCGTTGACCAACGCTCCCCCAATTTCTATTGGGGCTTGTTGGCGCCCGTGCCGTTTGCCAGTCCTTTGGACCGTTTCTTAGATCAGGGCGCCGAAATCCCCTTCGAACACGGGGAAGGGCCACTCAGGCCGCTCTCCCATCCAACTCTCGTCCGTACTTTTCGGGTACCTGCACCCTTCCTCGGCACGCAAACGAGCGGGGACATTGTGGGGGGCCAGCTGCCCAAAAGTTGCCACCTGATATTTCCCGAATTCAACCCCCAATATCATATCTGCATGTATTTCTTGAGCCAACAAGGTTCACAGCTGGGTTAGGTCTTCTGTGAAGTGTCTTTGAGTTTTCAAAAGACGCAGACCCACAGCCGGGCGTCGCACAAAACCAACCTCCCACCAATGCGGACCATATGAGAATAAGAGCCCCAACTTTCCGGCCGAATATGATCAACACAAGGATTGGACTAACCGCCCTCGTCTTTTGCCAAGGAAAGATACACTCTGATTGGGCAGCCACGCTGAACAAAACAAGTTGGGCCGCACTAGAGCAAACGAAGCCTGGCGGCGGGCAATGGATTTGTCCCCAAAAGGAGCGAGGGAACCCTCACAATGGAAAATGGGAAGTTTTCCTTCGCTTTCCCTTTACGGCTCAAAAAGTAATTACCCTCAACAATGCAAAGGGATAGCGGTACCTTCGGAATCCGGAGGGCTGCACTCATCAGGGGTGGTTCTCTTTTTCGGAGGAGGGGTCCTAGTGGCTTGGTTGCTGTTAACCCCTCAAAAAAAAGTTGACTTGTTGTGGGTCCGATGGGCACATCCCACAGTTTCGACCAAAAAGCTCCCGTTACCAATTAGCCATAAAAGCCCTAAGGGGCCTCAATATGGACGAGTGGACAATGGTTGAGTGAGACCCTAAAGGTAGGTCCCTCGTGATTTATCTGATTGCTCACGAGTCAACGACCTTTCAATCAGCCTCAGGAAAGCGCCCAAAACTCCCACAGCACAGAGGGAGTTTTCGACCGCTTTCCAACCATGTCTCGCCCCAAGTGACAAAGCGGTACAGTGCCCCTCCCGAACAAAAGTATGATATTTCACTTTCTAAGGGAGGGACATTTGGAAACAATTGGGCACCCCAAGAAAGGGACCTCTTTTTTGTTGGGGGGGGGTTCTCGTCTCAAAACAACTCCAAAGTGGTACCCTCAAAAAGAACGCAACACCCATATGTTGGAAGCTTTTTATCCAAACACCAGCCACATCAGAGCCAACCGGCCCAGACAAAGAGAGAGCGAGAGAGAGAGAGAGAGAGGGAGAGGGAGAGATAATTTGGGCGTTTCATGCATCCAGTGGAATGATGCCTCAAAAGCATGCTAAAAGCAACTCCTTTTGTGGGTATTCATTTTGCAGGGTGTTGTTTGAGAAGGGGCGCGTGGATGCGTTCGTAGCTAATGGAAAACGACCTGAACTTCATGAATTCAAACTTCTTGAGGAACCAAAGCAGCGGGCCCAACCAACCATGTGGGTGAATTATATTCAATCACCTAGCGAACGTTCGGGTTCCCACCTTCACCATAGGCGAGGTTGCAAACTCCGGTGGGTCGCTACATTAGCCCAGAACAAGCTTGGTCAGTGTTCGACAGTTCAACCCTAAAGCCAGCAATGAGTGAGCAAAACTGTGGGATCCCTCAAAGATATTGGTTCCCCTTTACATACTCAATCTTCGGTCCCCTTTTGGTTTCATTCCGGGACCACCATTCCGAGACATACTCCAACACATTCCAACACCTCTTCTGGACGACTGGTCGAACATCTTCTATGCAGGGCTTCGTGCGCGACGATGTGCATGTCCTTGGCCACGCGCCAAGGCGGATTTGAGCCATGGTTTTGACCACATTGCCGTTGAAGCAAAATGCAAGGCTACCCCCCGGGCAAATTAACGTGGAAGGCAAACAAAAACCGTGGAGTCTCCTTTCCGGGATCTGTAGGCTCCCATGTTAATGAGGAGAAACACTTCTGGAAGGGCCTGCCCCTATGATAGCACAATCTGCGTGCTGTCGCAAGGCGACGTCATTTGGGGGGATTTGTGTATACCTCAGCTTGATAGAAACGAGTGTGAAAATTCCCTTTGGCTGCCACCTGCTACCACTATACCAAAACGACAAACAAAAGCTTGACATGTTGTTCGAAGCTTGGTTTGGAAGTCAGCGGACAACGACACCCCGGGTTCCCCGCGAAAGGAAGTTGGGGGCCCAAAAATATGTCGCAAACCAAAAGCTTTCGTCTCGGCTAGACCGTCGACCCTGCGAAAAGTGCTTATGAATTCTGATTGAAAGGGGCAACGTAAACTGGTAAGCAAACTCTGGGCAATGTTGCGCCCAACCTGAAGCTCGAAAGTTCTGGAAACAAATCCGGCCCGGAGTCGGGCCAAACCAAAGCCCGTAAATGTAGTTTTGTATATGTGATAATCTGAGTATACTGTATACCTATGTACAAATATGTCAGCTGGTATGAAATTCTGACTTTAGCCTTCGACGAAGATTCATGTGAACCAACCCTTTGCTCGTGAAGTCGGTTCAGCGGCGCCTACCTCCCAGCTCGCCCTCGCCCTTCTCAGGCGGTACTTTTTGCAGCTCCAAAAAAGACTCAAAGAGCACTTAAACCCGCGGCCTGAAAAGGGTTTCCGTTTGATTGATCCTTTTGATTGGTTGGCTTGGTTCACAGCCTGTTATTGTTGTTGAAAAGGGCTTCCATTTTTGGACAAACGAACAAGCAGGGATACGGAGGGAGCGGGGATATGGGGGGATTCCCTTGGCGCCATTTCCCATAAATTTAGCCAAGGTGCATTTAGGGGGAATCCTCCCGTATCCCTGGTTCCCCCTGTATCACTGCTAGTTGGTTTCCCCGACATTTCATGACTCTGGCTAGTTGCTTTCAAAGCCGATTAGTTGCCCTTTAATCCTTTGGATTGGTTGGCTTGGTTCACGGGCCCTTGTTGTTGTTGGACACGCCCAACCAGCCCTTTCTTTCCAGAAACCAAACCACAAAGCGCACGGAGATGAAAAGAATGGGGAATCAACCCCCGCATGTACCCCGAACTGGTTACAAGGGAACCGTGGGGATCGGGACCCCCCTCGCGGGGAGGGCCTGCCACTATCCTACCAAGATGGAACCCAAGGAACATGGTTCTGCCAGGAGGCTGGGTGCCAAACAGGGGATCTGGAACAATTGTACCATCCATCCACTTCCCCGGATGCATGGAACAGCCATACATAAAAACACCAGCTGATTTCGAGGATCCGAATCCTGTAGGCAGGTGGTGTTTGAATGTATCCTTGCTTCCATTTGGTTAAGACCCCTGGAAAAATAAAACTATGTCCAGTAGTGATAAATTCCTTTTACACCCAACAAGAGAAAATAAACAACATATTCTTAAGCAAATGCAAGCTTGAGGGACCTGGGCTTGGAGAAGCTCGGTTCTATCCGAGCTTTCGATCAGGTCCCAGGGGCATTGGAGCCATAGGGCTCCAGCCCCAGCGCGCGGGCACGCACAAACATCTCCCGCAGCTGCTGTGGCCTTAGCTTCCCAAAGCGGTGGCTCTCTCTGCGTTTTGGTTTCTACTGACTGGATCCCTGGATCCCTGTTCCCTGGTTCCCTGGCTCTACCTTTATTGGGTTCCCTTTAAAACTAACAGCGGAAAATAACAAACAAATTTATCTAGGTCCTTCTGTAAAGAGGTTCGAATAAGAGTACCCAATTGTTCTTTCTGTTGTCTATTTTAGTAAGGGAACCCAACACCCCCCCCCAAAAAAAAAAAAAAAGGTAGAGAGGGCACCTAGCTGGGGGGCCTAGTTGAGGCCGTTGGAGGCCTTCACAAAACTGCTTTTGGGCTTTTGGGGGGGAAAGGGGCTCATCTGTGCCCACATTTTCGGCTCATCTCCGCCCACACAGAAGTGACTCATCTGCGCCCACATTTTCTGACTCATGTGC